CTTAACGGCTTATAGTGTTTGTTTACCTTGTATCAATTATTTCAAGAACAAAGTCAGTTAAATTGTTTGTAAGTTTTACATAGTAGTAAAGTATCTTTCACAGGATAGATATAATCAATGGTTTCTACAGACAATAACTTACAAGTTTTAACAGAAGACCCAAGAGATTTTTGTACTTGGTGAAACTGTTGGATTTTAAAGTGTGGGGGACAAATTATGAGGGGGTCACTGTCACTTGGGGGAATCACTGTTAGTACCTTCTTTAATATCCCTACATAATCCCCCTTTTGACACTACGATATTTATATAATCGTTAGTGTCACTTTCTTTTTAACCTGTTTAAGAGACGGTACTGTGAGGCAACAGGTGTTTGTCATTCCAATTTAGCATACATTCTTTTTATCTGAAAACACATGCCACACATACCAATTATACAAATACGATTTAATATCAAGACTACTATCAAGGGGTGTAGCATTACTGATAGGATGCCAATGGTAGTTGGGGACCATCCAGAGAATATATCATACCAGTGGTAGGTTGTAATTTGTTTTTCTGCAGTGGCAATTCGTAACATGTCCCCATTGGCAAGTATAATATGAATAGTCCGATTTCCTACTTGTTCATTTGTCTGTTCTAAAAATTTGGTCACTTCTTTGCTTTTAATTAGACTATCAGTAAGATCTTGCCATCTAATTCCAAGGTCAATTGAGAAGTCGGCCAGCTCAGCGGTTAGTGTTAGCTGGGACTCTCTCTTTTTTTGGCCATGGTAAATAGTAAGTGTGATTTCTAGTAAAAACAGTACTGACCTTGTATTTACATTCATCTACTGGGCGGCTGCTAACACGCCCATCCTCCCAAAATACTTCCTCCCACAAGTGGATACATACACATTTTCCATTGTACAATACTTTGGTGTCATTGTCCAATTCATCCCACATACATGATCCCAATGAAACATCTTTACTACAAGGCTCTGGGGCAACAGGTATGGTGAGGCATACCCACTTTTGAGGAGTCCATTCGGTACAACCTCTAGTGTCCAATAGTCTTCCTCCCTCTCCAGCCCACTGGCTTGAGGTCCCAGGCAGCCAGAATGATCCCATGTGTAATATGGGGAGTGGGCTAACCTTCCATACCTTTGCCTCCAGAGACTGTTGGTGTGCTATTTTTACAATTATTTCCCCAATTAACAAGTCTGATTTCACAGTGCTGGAAACATACTGCATCCAGTCATATTGGTAAGTATCAAACAGAGATCATTTTCTTTGTTTTAACAAATGCATTAAAACCTATATATTACCCAAAATTACCCAAAACATTTTGTGTTCCGAAGTAGATAGGGCAAGTCAGTGCATCCCATAGCTATAGCCGTTTGCATACAGATCAGTGCTGCTCCTACAACACTCCGCCCCTTGATCTATGATCATTACAGTACAGTAGTTGTTGTCATTGTAGGGCACAGGTGATCTGTTGTAAACAAACCAAACAATTATAAGCAGGTGAGTATAACTAAAATCATTACAATTGATTAAACACCAGATATAATATAAACAGAAATGCAAACAATTAATTATGATAATTGGGAATTCAATAAAACCTAAAACCATTTACAATAATTAGGTACATTGACAAATAAAATGAGGCCCAAGTTTGATGCTGCAATAGTCATCAAACAATAAAAGTTACTGAGGTTAGGACCTTTTTAATGCAGAATCCTCTATTTCTAACAGTTGTTCTTAAGAGGTTTCTGGGGACCTGAAAGATGGGGCCCTGCAATCATGGGCTAAGGTTTTACAGGTTATGGGGGCCCAAGAACT